TCCCACTTTTTTCTTCTAGAAGATGAAACTTTTCCAATTTTGGAGGATTTAAGGGGTAAAAACAGGGAATGTGAAGCTTTGAAAACCTCTTTTTTTTAGTCAAATGAAGAGTTTTTGGTTTTTAAACTGCCAAGAAGATCTCCCAGAAGATCTTGAGAACGTGGGGGAGTCACCCAGAGGAGTCTGAGGAGGGTTGATCATGGTAGATCTCAGTGGGGTTGTGTCCAACACAACCTCCTCCTCCCTCTCCCAGTCAGAATCCCAAATCCAGGTTGTCCATCTCCCAGCTCCAGATCCTCAGCCAGCAGCAACAGCAGCAGCAGCAGCAGCAGCAGGAGCAGGACCAACTGGGCAACCCTCGTCTGGGGAGCGGGAGAGGAACCGGTCGGAGCAGCAGGCAGAGCAATGAGGACAGTGAAGGTGAGGAGATGCTGAGGGGCCATCCAAGGTGAGATGGAATGGAGGGGCTGGGATGGATTTGGGAGAGAGGGGGTACAAGAAAGGATGAGTAAAAATGGGTTGTTGGGTGGTGAGAAGGTCAACATGAGCCATCAAAGTCAACCGTGGCCTGGGCTGCATCACCAGCAGCGTGGCTGGCAGGGTAAGGGAGAGGACTGTCCCCTTCTGCTCTGCCCTGGTGAGACCCCACCTAGAGAACTGGGTCCAGTTCTGGAGCCTCCAGGCCAAGAAGGACATGGAGCTGTTGGAGGGAGACCAGAGGAGGCCATGGAGATGATGTGAGGACTGGAGCAGCTCTGGAGACAGACTGGGAGAGTTGGGGTGTTGAGCCTGGAGAGGAGAAGGCTCCAGGGAGACCCTGGAGCACCTTCCAGGGCCTGAAGGGGCTCCAGGAAAGCTGGGGAGGGACTTGGGCCAAGGGCAGGAGTGATGGGACCAGGGGGGATGGCTTGAAACTGACAGAGGGAGCTGAAGGTTGGACAGGAGGAGGAAATTCTTGGCTGGGAGGGTGAGGAGAGCCTGGAAGAGGTTTCCTGGAGAAGTTGTGGGTGATGGAAGTGTCCAAGGGCAGGTTGGATGGGGCTTGGAGCAACCTGGGCTGCTGGGAGGTGGCCCTGCCCATGGTGAGGGTTGGATCTAGAATGTCTTTAAGGTCCTTCCAACCCAAATCATTCCATGATTCCATGATTCTATGACCACTCTGCTCTCACCCATCCCACCCACTGTGTCTTTAGATGGCTCAAGTGTCCACGGCCTGGATGGACTCATGGTCCCTTACCCCAGGATCCCCCAGCAGCAGCTGCTGCCCCTGGAGCAGAGCAGCTACAGCACAGACCTCTACAGACAAGGGCTGACCCCACCCCAGCTGCCTGGAGACCATCTGCACCCCTACGGTAGGAGAAGCCTGTGGAGATTTGTCCAAGTCATGAAAAGCCAACTCCAGCAGCAGGGAGTCCTCCAGAGGACTTGGACAAGAAGGATATTGAGGGGCTGGAGAGCATCAGGAGAAGGGCAATAAAGCTGGGGAAGGGGCTGAAGAAGAAGGGGCTGGAGAAGGAGAAAGGGCTGGAGAACAAGGGGAAAAGGCTGGAGAACATGGAGAAGGGGCTGGAGAAGGAGAAAGGGCTGGAGAACAAGGGGAAGAGGCTGGAGAACATGGAGAAGGGGCTGGAGGACAAGGAGAAGGGGCTGGAGAACTTGTGAGGAGCAGCTGAGGGAGCTGGGGGTGTCCAGCCTGGAGAAGAGGAGGCTGAGGGGAGACCTTCTGGCTCTGCAACTGCCTGGAAGGAGGTTGGAGCCAGGGGGGT